CCCTTCTGCCTGGCAGGAGAGCCGTGATCAAGAAGGACATGGTGTGGGCAGCTGATGCTGTACTCACCTCACTCCTTGTCCATGTGGTGACCACCCACACAGCAAAGCTGTGTCCTCTCCTCCTGATCCCATGCTCCAGGCACCTGACCACACCTGGGGGAGCTCATGTCTTGGAGCCTTCTTTTGGAGCATGGCTTTGCAGGACTCATTTTCCCACGCTTCCTTCTCTCCTCCTGCTTTACCCACTGAGACCATGAGTTCCCTAGGACAAGAAACCTGCAGTGGTCCATCACTCCTGATACCATGTTAGTGCCATCATGGCATCTTCTGACACAGAAAAGTCTGTGGAATATATTCAATGGGAGGTCAAATCAGTTGCTCTTGGATCTGAAGCAAAATGAGGTTTTACCCATTTGTCCTTTCCTTTTTTTTCTCCTCGCTAAGTGCATAATTCTTCCATTTTTCTTTAAATATCATTCTAATATGAGATTTGAAGGACTGGGGCCAGAACCTGAAATAATTATACTTAAAAAGATCTTACCTGAGGTTGTTATTGGGTTGCTGTATGTATTCTCCAACCTCTCCCATCTTCCACAGCTGCAATTGGCTGCAATTTCCAAGACATTGTGCAAGAAGAATCCATCCACTGTTCCCAGTTTGCCTCAACCAGGGGTTTTGGGACGGTGTGATCAAGTGCCCAGCACCAACTGCTCTGTGCCAGGGCACACACTTGACATGGCCCCACTTTCCAGCCCTCCCAGACTGGTTTCTGATGTGGTTTCTGTCCAGATAAGCCAATATGCACCCAGTGGCTGTGGGAAAAGGTTAAAAACCCCCTAATTTGCTCTCTCCTTCCTATTCATGAAGCAATTCCAATTATTTAATGGATTAAATGAGCCTGAAAGCCACAAGGAGCCCCTGTGAAAGGAGGGGAGACAGCACTTCACAGCTGGAGGTGTTTGGTGGGTCAGGTTTTGGCAGAGGGGCATCATCAGCATCCAGGGTTGGCTGTGCCATCCCTCTACTTCTCTTCTGCTTGAGAGGAAGAAGACTGGAAAAGGGGGAACTTTTGATTTTTTGATTCTGCTGTTGTGAGTCTCACTTTTCCTGAAAGTGGATGCAAGGTCTGGTTGAGGTATGGGGCTAAGCCCCTTTCCTGGAGGCCACCTATCTTTCAGGAGATCATTTTCTTGGGAAGACAATGTGCATCCTCACTGATGAAGGATATGAGCAGAAAAATTCCACCAGACCTTGCCAAAGTCCTGAGGCCGTGTCTGCCCCTGTCACTGTGCCAGGAGCTGCCAAGCATCAGCTCCATCCCACTCTTGCTCTTCAGTGCATGTTTTCAAATATTTTTTTCCAAAATAAAAATTATTATCGGGTTTTTTTCTTCCTTTTATTTGCTTGGCTGGGTCACCTCTGTTTATTACTCATTCCCATGTTTATCTCTGCTCCCAAGCATCTGGGGACAGGCTCTGTGAGTGGGGAGTTCTGGACAGGCAGGATGTGACACTGCCTGTCGAGGCTCCACCTGAGACCCCAGAGGGTGGGAAAAATTCAGCCAAAACACCCAATTTCCTGTGAAGTTCCTTTATTATCATTATTATCATTACTACTAGTATTAATATTCCTTTTATTAATACTGTTGTTATCTTGTACTGAAATACCCATTTTAGGATTTTTTCCCAACAGAAATGCTTTGTCTATTTTTGAGGGGAACCTGTGAACTAAGCAAGCAATGGGGCAAAACCCACCTAAAAATTTCAGAGTGGAGTGAAGCAGTTGGATGGGAAGAAACCTGGGAAGGAGCTGGGAACAAGGTGGTACCAAGGTGCTTAGGCTGGAGGCTTTGAACTTGAGTAAGAGATGTCAGGGGAGAAATAAAAATAGAGAGGGAGAGAAAATAAACGAGAAGTACTTCTACTGCACCCTTGTTAACCCATAAAACCAGAGAAGCAGAGTCATGTACACCACGTGTGCCAAGGGAAAGGAGAGGAGAGAAAAATTGACAGCATTGCCTGCTCAATGAGAACTTCAGTAAAAAAAAACAAATGATCTTTTGTGTTGTCTGGGGAGAAACTCTTCCATCATCTTTATGAATTTCCACCTTTGGCAATGGCTAAATCGTCTTGCATATCTACCATCAAGATACTAACAGCCATACCATAAATCTTAACCTCAAACTATCATTATTTGCTGGAAAAAATGAATGGTTCGCTCTGCACATGAAAAAAAGAGCAAAGCTTTTGAAGAGGAGACTCTTTCAGGCTGAGCGTCCTCCCCGGGCTCTCTGCTACATGTTGGTGGGATGAACACTTCTTGCATGCTCAGGTCTTAGAAATATCAATGGAAATGTGCTATTTTCTATCTCTTAAAACTGTTATTATCTTGATATTATCTGTTGCTTACAACAGTGAGACAGGTTGGGAAACACTGAGTGGTCAAGTCTCAGCCACTCATCTGCAAAATGGAGTTAAGGAATAAACACTGGAGTTTCTTGGGGTCCCATAAATTACAATAATTGGGGTTAAACAATTTGATACAGTCAGAAAAAGTGCCCAGAGCTTTTGCCTTCCCCCTCTGCCCCATGGAGGACACAGCCCAGGTAGGGGTGGGAGCCAGGCCCCAGTGCTGGCTCTGGGGCAGCTGGAATGTGATTTAATTCCTCCCCTCTCATTACCACTTCCTGAGCCCGGGTGCCCCGAGGGACAGCAGGGGATGAGGGGAAACATCAGTTTCTTAACAAATTCTTGTGTCATCTTCTTGACAGCACCTTTAAGTGCTGGATGACACTCAGGAATGATGTGGCTTAACCTCAAGGGTTCAAGCCAGGGAGCATTTCCCTTTGCCAAGGAGCAGCAGTAATCGCTGGAGAAGAAATCCATTGCAGCTCTCCCTGCCAGCAGCCACCAAGTGCTTCACCCACGTGGCAGGGACACATTCAGAGCTCCTGTGCTACCTACACGGGGCAGCTGTGCACTCTGGAGTACCTCTCAATTTGGGGAGTGTCAGGATGGTTGGTCTCCATGGGCTTTTCCAGCCTTAGTGATTCCCTGATTCTCTATGTGTGGATGAAGGGGATATAATTCATTCCCCAAAATTAATACCTTTCCATGGAGGTGATGTGACAGATTGTGGACACTCTCTTAACCTGCTGCAAACAGGACAGGAAAGGGGTTAAAGCACAGGGAAGGTGAGTTTAAGTGAGGGATTCTGGGGCATTCCAGTGGGATGGAGGGAGTCCTGCTGGAGGAGCTGGATCCAAAGGCTTTCCTCAGCACTCCCTTTACACACTTATTATCTGGAGATGAATAAAAAGCCACAGTACTATTAAATCCCAAGGATTAAAGGTTTAACATGACCAAGAATAAGAAGCCTGGAGAGCATTAATTAATGTTTATATGTGGTTTCTATCTTCTCTTCCTTTTTCTCTCACCCTTTGTCTGCCTCAAAAAATAGTAGATGGGAACAGCTTCTTCTGCCAAGGCCAGGCTTCAGCAGCTAAGACTCTTTGTTGGGGAAGACAAAAATGGAAAACCTTATAAATATGATTGCCTGGCAAAAGATTTTGAGAATATGGAAACTATAAGCAAGATCGAAATGAAAGCCATCTTTGAGACACCAAACCTTAGTTACTAAACAGCTAGAAAACAATAGTATGGGCAGCTGAAAATAATCCCCTCCTGATTGAACAATCCCCTCTGCTTGCAGACAGGTCCAAGAGTCAGAAAAGACCCTACTAGCTTGGTAAAGATGGTCCAAAGAGTAGTTTTTAGGGTTTAAAGTGTAACACAGTATGGTAATGTAGTGATCTTTGTAGGCTGTATGTAAATGCTATAAAATTTGTATCTTGTATTAGATTGGTTAGTGAGAACTAGAATATTCAACACAGAAGAAGATTTATTGTACTGTAACGGGAACTTCGCTCTCTTATGCTCTTACTTCCCTTACTGCTCTTACTCTTACTGCTCTTACCTCTCTTATGCTCCTACCTCTTACCTCCCTTACCCCTCTTAACTCTTAACCCTTGCTCTCTCTTTACTCCTTTTACTCTTGCCCTCCTGCTCTCACAGCCTGCTCTGAGCTGGCAGCTCCAAGCAGGGCCCTTTCACCCCCATCCTTTGCAATAAACCACAAGTTCCAACCCCTGCCTTTAGAGATCTCTCTGTCAGTCCCGACTGTCCGGACCCCTGCTCCTACACTCTTCTTTTTCCGCTCCAAAATGTTTGTAACAGTTCACAGGCTCGTGATTCATAGGGCTTTCCCAGAGTTTATCTGCAATTACAGGTCTCGTTCCCCAGCACTGGCCTTTCTTGTAGTTATATTGTCCACAGGATGATTTTCAGCCCTGTCCCTCAGCCTGGGAAACCCACAGCATTGCTGCCCCCACTGCTGGAGCACTCTCTTCTCCCCCTCCCTCTCCAAAACAGCAAGACAAAGGACTTCCCATGGATATGGCATCAAGAGCTGCAAATTCCCACCCTCAGTGGCTCTTCAGGAGCTGCTCTGTGTGACCATGATCTTTCTTGGGAACATCTCCAGGTCAAGGCTATTCCTTGTTCATGGGATGAGCTTCTCACAGGGAGGACAGAAGGTGACATGTAATCCCCAGCCAGATGCTCAGAAGGTATAAGTGGCTCCCCACTGATTTATGTCAACTGAAAATACAACTTGACCACATCTCTTGGTTCCTGTATAGTCCTGCACTGTGCTGCTCTTGAACCAGGAATTCTAGCTAACCAAAAACTTCAAGTTACTGCAACAGGTGAAAAGAATGAGGGGGCTGTTCCCTTCTCCTGCCCCAATGGAATGCAGATTACCAACTTAATTTAAAAAAAACCCAAACAAACCAGAAAACAACAACTCTGTCCCCAGATATGCATTTCCTATCAGACTTACACTTGGATAAACACTTCTGGTTCCTGAAGAAATTTGAACCACAGAATGTTCTGAGTTGGAAGAGGGCCCACAAGGATCACCAAATCCAACTCATAAGCAAATAGCTCATACTGAGATTGAACCTGCAGTCTTGGCATTATTAGCATGATGCTCTGACCAGCTGGGCTAATGAACTTCATAAACCTGTCAGTGTTTCAGCTGTAAATTCCAGGCCTTGGGTGCTAGGAATGCTGGAAACTGAACGTTGCAAGATAATGAAACAAAAAATTAATCTGCTTTTTTTCTGGAAGCATTGATATGGGGCAAGATACAAACCCCAATAATAACAGATGCTGCCTTCTCTGCATTTTCCATCATTCCAGTCTGCCCTACCTGCAGATGTCTGTCCATTCCCTCTTTTCCTCCTGCTCTTGATCCTGAAAACCTGGCGGAGATGTGCCATGCTGGGGGCTGAAGATGAGAGGAGCTCTGTGCCATCCATTCCTCATCCTTGGTGGATTCACATATGGTGACACCATGTCACAGGCCCAAAATGCTCCTTGCCTGTGATTTTGGCAATCCTGCTGCCTCTATTTATAAAGCAAGATTGCCAGGGAGGCCCACCCGAAACAAGCACAGTGCCAAGACAGGATTAAGCCTCTCTCATTGCAGCAATTCCAGGCTATTCTGTAGGAAAGAGGAATTATGGATCCCCTACCACACACAGCCAGGGGCTTGGAACTGGCCACAGACCCAGCTGAGAGCATCCATCAGCTCCTGGGAGTTTCCCATCCTGTTCCTAAAGAGTCGTGGTCATCCCAGCAGTGCTGGGCTGGGAGGCAACGTCACACCATGAGGGGGAAGCAGTGTGATCCCTTCTTTTCATCTTCCTTAGAATACAAGCACAGAACTAATTTTAAATAAAGGAAATCTCTTAAGAAGAGAAATTTACCCTGGATATCAATATTTCCAGTAATGGAAACTCCACCATACCCCTGGAACACTCTCCATGCTCAATTAGCCACGCTGTTAAAATGTCTCCCCTGATGTCTCCATTATCCCTCCTCTCCATTAGGGAAAATCCAGTAGATTTAAAAATGAGATGCATGTCATTTCAGATTTTAATGCAAAATAAAGAAAAAACGTTTAATGTTAATTAGGAAAAATCCTGTCCTCAAAGACACAATTCTCCAGAGGCTGCAATTGCAGCTCTTGTTTCTGACTGGAGCCCAAGAGCTGATGAGCTCCCTGGCAAGTGCCCTTCTTGGAGGGGACTTGGCACAGTCCAGCCCTGTGATAAAAGGTTTTGTTCAACCTCAGCCGTGTTCACGCTGCCTCCATTCAAACCCCCTGAGCCTGAGCATGGGACAGTATTTCCAAATGGAATGGCTCTAACAGCAGGTGGTTATTACCTCAGTTAGCAACCTCCATTTATCTCTGTTTCCCCAAGTTAGAAACAAAGGCTGAGCACAACACCACCACTCACAGACTGCTTGGTGAGATTACCCATTTTTACTCTGACATAAAGTACCAAGAGCTCCTGAAAAAAAACTTGGATAAAAATTGACCTTTATTATTTATAAACCCTACCAATTACAGAGATAATGGGTTCAATTCTCCTCTCACCCACTGCCAGCACAATGACACAGTGAGGCACATGAGGAGTTACCCAGGCCATGTCCTTGCCCCCATCCTCGATGAGCAAGAAGCAGATCAGCACAGGAGGGAGGAGGGAGGGTGCATTGAGAGCCTAATGAGGCTGCAGGACTCCCTGCCACACGATGCTTCTGAAACCCAAGAACCAAAGTGTAATTTCTGTGGGTAATGATACCTAGGGTCATTAAAGCCAGGAGTAAGCAGCACTTGGAAGGCAGATATGGTGTCATGTACCAGGGTTAAGCCAGCTGCTGGAGGTCAGGAAAAGGAGGAATGATTGCTCTGCAGCAGTGTGAGCTGCTCCTCGTATTCCCCTTGGCAGCCAGTGTGACACAGGCTGGACACACTGGAGTCAGCCACTTTTCTAAACTACTCCATGTTACTCCATATTCTGCATTTCCACAGAACGGTTTGGGCTGGGAGGGACCTTAAAACTCTCTCATTAAATCCTCTGCCATGGGTAGGGACACCTTCCCCTAGACCATTCTGTGTTAGTCCAGCTAAAAACAAACTCTAAGACATCTGTTTTTGCTAAAAATGCTCGGTGATCATCAATTTCCACACAAATCAAGGTCTGGTGGCTTCAGCTGTTAACTAGAAACATGAAGGAGATTAGGAAAAGGATCCCAACTCTGTGTACAGTTACTTAACTCTGGTGTCTCCAGAGACACCTGTGCAGGAGACAGGATAAATTGTCACAGATTGAAGGAGATGGTCAGCTCAGACTTAACAGCAAACGTCAAGATGGTGAAAGTCGAGTAGATGAAGCCCATTCAAAGGAAGAAATGTTTCAAGCTGCTGTTGTGGAGCATTGCCCAACAGACTATCAAAATGAGAATAAAAATATCTGCTTTAAGTTAAAAAAATAAAAGTGGAAAAAAGTTCATTTCCTCACCTTTGATTTGTCAGTCCTGAAAGGGCTCATTTTTTGCATACCATAAAAGCAACAAAAATTTGACAAAGTGAACCAACTACCACCCTAAACTGGAGGAGAAACAAAATTGTGTAAATCATTAGCAACTTCCATCAAGAAATTATGGCATTAAATCCATTAAATCCTGGTGAATTCCACAGGAACATGACTGACAGGGTGGTCTGGAGGTGAGTTACAGCTGCACAGCGCTGGCACTGCCGTGTCTGAAGTGCCTCAGACCCAACCTGGACAGCAAAGCTGATTGAGGCTTCACTGGAGGTGGGGATCCAACTTCAGACATTTAGAGCTGGTGGCTTCAACCTGAACCTCTCCAGCACTGAAGAGCAACCCCACAGGAGCACTTGGGTGATTTTACTGGCACTCAGCTTTGGGTGCCTTCCCCAGCTCAGCCCTGACAGCAAACTCCACTCCACTGTGGGGTGTTGTGATCCAGCTCCAGTCCTGAATTCTCCAGCTTGCTCCCATCCTGCACCTGCTGAATTGCAGGTGGTAAAAGTAAAGGCGGTTGTGTTTCTCAGTGCACCAAAAGCACATCAATGTGGGAGAATTTAAGAGGAACTTCAGTCAAAGCCTTTCAAAGGAATTAAAATACATTTCTTATGAGCAGCTGTACTCATGGCCATACTCTTACTGCTCTCAGAGAGGACCCCTGGCGTTTGCACTCCTGCCACTTTTGTCTTTCTTATTTTAAGAACTGTGTTTCATCTCTTTGTGCCTTTAGTTTCCATATCTGTAAAATGGGCACTTCCCCTAACTTAGAAGTTCTGCATTAACTAAAGTTGTCAAAGCATTAAAATCATAGCCATGGAGTTCTTGTATTCTTGATTTCATGCTATAAAGAGAGTAAAATCAAAGCAGATTGCTACAAAAAAAAAGAAGCCTTTGTGTCTCATCTTCCTCCACAGATAGAGTTTCTAAGGTATGCTAAGAAACGAAACCCCACAGGGGTTAGTGGTGTCCATTTAAGTCTCTCAAATACCTACACTCAAATATTCCAAGTGCAGGGGGATTAACTCCAAATCTGAGTGGATTAGTCAAAAAGCTTCCACAGCAATATGGAACTGCTGGAGAAAAAGATAGAAAATTGTCACTTTTGTGGACTTTACAATACAACTTGATCCCCCCATGTATAGTGAGCTGTAAGCCTGGCAATATCCTGGGATCAGGTGGAGAGGAAAATTTCACTTGGGAACAAAACAGTTCAGAGAGTTGGAGCATCAGAGACATGAGAGCTGGGAAACCTGAGGCTACCTTGGACCCTCACTCAACACCCACAGCCCCACTGTCTGTGCTCCTGGAGCTCGTCCAGCCCCTCTGCAAACCTACAGTCACACACACACAAATATATATTTACACACTCCCAAGGAATTAAAGACAACTCCGAAAGATTAGGATGTGAAGGACATGATTAAACACATGAAATCACATAAGCAAACAGACAAACTTGCACCATTGTTTGAAGGTTATATACATTACAAGGCCAAAAAAGAGGGAGACAGTTCTCTTGCAAGAGGAAAATACAGCAAGTACAGCTTCCTGCAGGACTTCCCTGGGCTAGGAGGCTGAAGGAGGGCAAAGATAACCACTTGTAACAACCATTGTGAGCCACAGAATTAATGCCAGGCTCCATGGGTGGAGCAGACGACCAAGGGAAAAGTCCAGCTCTGATACAGAATCTCAGAATCCCAGAATGGTTTGTCTTGGAAGGGAATTAAAGCTCATTTCACTCTCCTTCCATGGGCAGGGACACTAGACCAGGTGGCTTTGAGCCCCATCCAGCTGGGCTTGGACACTTCCAGGGATGGGGCAGCCACTGTGCCAGGGCACCACCACCCTCCCAGGGAGGAATTCTTGTGAATCTACTGGCCAAAGAAAGAACACACCACTCTGCATTGTGGCAGCTCTGGTTCAGAATTATAAATACAGTAAGATTTTTTTTCCGAGATTATGAAGGGAGACCAACTCCCAGGCTCCCACATCCAGGATTGTATTTGATCCTCAGAACTCTTCTCACTTTTTATCAAAAACCCTTCCCTGCCGGGAATTGGTTGTTAGTGCCTGCATGACTGGTCACATCTTAGCCATCTTAATTAGCAGGTGTGTGACTGCCTGTTTAGCCATATTTTTAGATCTCTGGGCTTTTGCAAGCTGTCAGAAAAGAAAAGGCATTATTTTAGGAAAAATAGCACTGCAAAACAGAGTGACATTCTGTTTGACGTGTGAGGATAAATTAAGGGTGAGAATACATTAAAGAAAACTCTGAGCACCTTCGTCATATTCCTGTATTCAAGGAAAAACACAGCTGAGTTTCAGTTGATCTTGGCTTCTTCACTGACCTGGAGCAGTAAATTTTCCCCCTTTTAGTGTTTAAGTAGTCTGTCAGTGAATGATTCCATTCATAAAGTGCTGGTGATGACAGTTCTGCAAAGCTAAATGGCACTTAACCGTGTACCTAATAAATCTGCAACAAAAATAAACACAGAGGATGAGAGGGGAAAAAAAGATTAACAATGGCAGAGAGCTAAAAAGAAAAAAAATTCAAAAACCCCCACTGGCAGGTATGAAAGGCCATTGTCATTAAAACTGTTTGGAATGGTATTGAGCAG